TCTGCACCTGGGATCCAAACTGGTGAAGCCTGGGCCACCGAAGTGGAACATGCACACTTAACTGCTGCACCACTGGGCCAGCCCCCTAATTTTTTAGTATACTGAGAAATTGCTAAGAGGGCTAGAATCTTAAGAGGAAGACTTATGAATATGTTAGGACAGTAGACTTGATTTGAATAACAACACAGATACTTAGAAATATTAAATACTTAGAAACCTCTCCCTGGACAGAATTGATACATCTGACATATCTTCATCCCTTGATTGTTCTTTTTCGAGATTGCAGACTCCTCTCTTTTTAGTTATGACAACATTATATTGGATGGGTCACAGTGAACTTTACAGATTATAGTTAATTACAGTTTTCATTCCCTGGAGGAAATTTAGAAAACACCACAAATGCATACCCAGCACATTTCCTAATCATCTCCAAGGGAGATTTTAAAAAGCTTTTTAGGGGCCAGCCTGGTGGCAGAGTGGTTAAATTCGCACGTTCCACTTCTCTAGCGGCCTGGGGTTCACCGGTTCAGATCCTGGGTGCGGATGTGGCACCGCTTGGCACACCATGCTGTGGTAGGTGTCCCACATATAAAGTAGAGGAAGATGGGCATGGATGTTAGCTCAGGGCCAGGCTTTCTCAGCAAAAAAGAGGAGGACTGGCAGTAGTTAGCTCAGGGCTAATCTTCCTCAAAAAACAAAAAAGCTTTTTATTATGGCAACTCTCAAACATACATGAAGCTGGAGGGAACCCTCATGTACCCAAAACCCAGCTTCAATATTTATCAACATCCTGCTGCCTTTTTTTCATCTATCCTACCATCCCCCCAACACACACACAATTTCCCCCCAACAGTATTTTAAAGTAAATCTCTAACTCTTATCTCTAAATTCAGGTGCTGTACCCTGTTTGAAATTTACCCTATGAACTGAGTACAAATGTCCTAATCTTAAAGTTGAGTAACACCTGCCTTGCCCACCACACCAAGTTATTGTGAGGTCGAAATGAGATACTGGACGTGAAAGGGCTGTGGTTCTCGAAATTGGTTGCACATCAAATTCTCTGCAAGAGATTTCCAAAACCAAATCCCCAGGCCCTACCCCAGACCTATGAATCAGGTGTCTGGGAGTGGGAACCAGGCATTGTGTATGCTCAAAGGACTCCAGGCCATTTAATTGTGGTTGTTAGGAGGCCAAAATTCACAAGTTGCCACTGGAAAGTAGTTGGCTAGTTTGTGTTAGAGCTACCATCCCCTTCTATGCTCCAGGGTCTGCTTGAGAACTAGAGGTGTGTGTGCGTGTTGTGGGGGGGGAATGTCAGCTGTCAGCTGCAACTTTGGGGCTGAAGATGGGCCCAACCTGGATCCCTTAGGAGGGAGGAATGGTCTACCTGGTTTTGAGCCGGTTGACATTAGGCCCTGCTTTGGGTCCTGAGTTTGGGGTGGGAGTGGATTTAAATGGAATGGCAAGGTTTAGAACTGAAGAGTGGCGGCCGGCACCGTGGCCAAGTGGTTGGGTTCACACCCTCCACCTTGGTGGCCCAGGGTTTCGCTGGTTTGAGTCCTGGGTGTGGACATGGCACCACTCATTGAGCCATGCTGAGGCAGCATCCCACATGACACAACTGGAAGGACCCACAACTAAAGATACACAACTAAGTACCGGGGGGCCTTGGGGAGAAAAAGGAAAAATAAAATCTTAAAAAAAAAAAAAGAAGTGAACGGTGGAAAGGAGAGGAAATGATGGGGCCTAGTGACTGTTTTGGAGCCTTTGTCATGGGGTGGGGGGCATCAGGCTTCAAGATGCTCCTAAGTGGAGGTACCTGTTTGGTTTTGAAGACAGGAAAGTAGAGGAATCACCCAGAACTACTAGAATGCACAGCTCACAAGGTATATGAATGCTCCCTGACCTGGAGGTGTACAGGCCCAGATAGTGGGAGACATTCCCTGGAGAAAAAGAAGAATGTTAGGCCGCTGAGAGGAGGGTACGTCAAGATCTGACCCAGCTTTCAGGAAGTGCCTCCATGTGTGTGTAGGGCAGCGTTAGAGGCGGGCATGGCTCTTTTTTTTCTGTCCCTTTATCTCCCTCAACACACTGACGGTGTTGAACTTCATCTTAACCCTGTGCTTCTGGAAAGCAGCTACAGTCAAGAAATTCCCCTACCCTTTTGTGTCCCCACTCACCCCATTTTGAGTTCTGAGAAATGGCTAACCTCAAAGGACTATCCTGCTCTAGAATATTCCAAGGTAAGACTCACTTCCAACTTTCCTCACTAAGTCAGATAAGACCCCTAGCATCCTTCTTCATCATGACTCCCTTGTATGTCTGCCTCTGTAAAACCCCACGTCCCCTTCCTTTTCTTGGATATGTTCCTCATTAATGAGCATTCTCCCTATTGCAATAGTCTGAACAAAATCACCTGACTTATTGTCCTGTGCATTTCAACTTTCATATCCTTCTCCTTTCTTCCCTTTTTCTTCATCATAATGAATTTTCAATGAGAGAGAGATCTACTGAGATGATCTATCAAAAATCCAGCTGACAGGTCACACAACAATGTGAATGTACTTAATGCCTCTGAACTGTATACTTAAAAATGGTTAAAATGGTAAATTTTATTTTGTGTATATTTTACCACAATAAAAAAATTGCAGCTGACAGAGACATAGAATGGAAATAATTTTATTCAAAACAATTAGAACCCCTAGTATGTGCTGGGTGATGGGTTCTGGGGTGAGAAAGTGGGCAGCGCCTGGGATAGGAAATGAGTAAGACCTGCTTCCTGTGATCCAGGAGCTCCTGGCCTTGCTGGGGAGACAAACACATAACCTGCTAATTGAGCTACCTAATTCAGGGTGACACACATTATAATAGACATGTGTACAGCTTGATTTGAGTCAGGTTATGAAGGGCCTTCAATGCTACACTAAGGAGTCTGGATTTTATCCTATGGTAATTGGGAGCCATAAGCGGTTTTAAAGCCTGGGTATGACATGAATAGATTCATTGCAATTCCTAATGTCTTATCACCAAACATCTGCTTTTCGGGGAGGATATAAAAGATCAATGGCTGTGACAGTTTTAATTTTAAAAAGTTGATTCCCTGTAAAACAGGCTTATATTCATGTTTCTGCCCATATTCATGTTTCTCTTACTAAATATAGTTAAGTTTAGGAAAGAAAGAGTTAACTTTGATTACGTCTATTGGGAAGACAGGGACACAGATCTGGCAAGTGCTCTGTAAAGAAATGTGCTTTGGGGCACATTCAGAGCTCAGAGTCAGGCAACTGCCCCTGGCTGAGGGAGTCAGAGAAGGCCTCCAGGAGAAAGTGGACCGGGAAAAAGGAAAGGGAAGAGGGAAAGCTGGAGCATATAGATGAAGGAAGGGGGCTGTGGACAATAAGGCCAGAGGGCCAGGGCCAGATGGGAGAGGGCTTTGTGTGCCAAGTTGAGGGTCTTGAATCTCTTCCCCACAGGTGATGGTGAACTATCAACGGCTCAGTTAATAATAACAATGATGATGATATAGTGCCTACTACATGCCAGGCACTATTCTAAGAGCTTTACCAATATTGACTCATTCCATCTTGACACTAAGGAAACAGTATGGTTAGATGGTTTTGATCACTTGGGTGGCCATGCGGATCATGGTGGCCAGAATATCAGCCAGCACACATATTGTTGTGGTTTGGGCCTTGTTATGAAGGGCCTTGAACGCTACACTAAGGAGTCTGAATTTTATCCTATGGTAATTGGGAGCCATAAGCGGTTTCAAAGCCTGGGTATGACATGAGACAGAGAGAGGGATGGAAAAGATTATTATTATTTGAGAAATAATTAGGAGTAAAATCATTAAATTGATTATTTTGGTGGTGGAACTGGAAATTGTGGAGGAACTGGTGAGGAAAAAGAGAGAAGCTGGGATGACTCTCACTTGTTCGGCTTTGGGGCCTGGGTATATCATTTTACCACCCAGGTAAAGAAATGATTGCTCTACTTCTTGGAGGATTTGCTGAAGTCCTCCCGTCCCTCCTACTCTCTCGGATTACTGAATTTAGAAGTGAGTTGTTTAATTTCCAAATATTTGGAGATTTCTGCAAAATCTTTCTGTTACGGATTTCTAGTCTAAGTCTATCACGATAGGAGAACATCCTTTGCTTGTTTTTGATTCTTTTGAATGTGTGGGGTTTTTTTTTCTTGATCCAGACTACCTTGGTAAGTCTTTCTTTTGCACTTGAAGAGAATGTGTCTTCTGTTGTTGTTGGGTGGAATTTCTATAAATATCATCAGGTCAAGTTGTTTGATAGTGCTGTTCAGGTCTTTTATAAATTTGATAATTTTCCAGCTACTTTAATTGTGGGTTTGTCTTTTTCTCCTTTCAGTTCTATAGCCTCCTGATTGATAGCTCGGCACAGTCAGGAGATAGTATGGCAGAGAGGAAAGAACGTTTGCATGAGACTGGAAGAAACATTTTATCTCTTTAAATTTTCTCTGGAACGCTGAGACAAAACGAAAATCACTCTGTATCCCAGCAGGCCTAGTGGAGCTTAGGACAAACGCAAATTAGGGAGTCCAGGCATTCGGTCACGCCCCTTTCCAGGGTTGGCAAGGCAACTGATACCCTAGCCAGCCAATTGGAGAGATGCTCACCTGGGGGGCGGGGACTCGACGAGAGCCAATGAGACGCGGGACAGGTGGTTCCATGGGCCAATGGCTTGGACGACAAGGCGGGTTTTTAGTGAAGGGACGGCGGTGGGAAAGATGGCGGCGAGTCTAGGGTCCTCTGGGTGGTGGCAGCGGTGGCGGCGGCGTTTGTCAGCTCGAGATGGGTCCAGAATGTTGCTCCTCCTCCTTTTGTTGGGGTCTGGGCAGGGGCCACGGCAAGTCGGGGCGGGTCAAACGTTCGAGTACTTGAAACGGGAGCACTCGCTGTCGAAGCCCTACCAGGGTGAGGCGCCCGGGGCGAGGTGGGCGCGCACGGGGAGGGCTTCTGGACCCGAGCTCTTCGGTAGAGGCGGGGGCGGCGCAGGGCTGCGTGGCCCTGAGGAAACTGCCGGCGGTGGGTGGGGCCCCACGGGGACTCCCACCGCGTTTGGGAGCCACGGGTCCGAAAAGCAGGGGTCAGCTTCCCCTCTCCGCCCCGCACTTAGCGCTAGAAGTTTCCAGCAGGTCGAAGGAGGGCCGTCGGATGTCACTAGCGCTAGGCCTGGACGAAGGGGAGCTCGGAGTTGGACGGGAGGAATGTGGGAAGGGGAGAGAACGGCGAATGGTGAGGAGTGATTGAGGGCCACTAACGACGAGCCGGTCTCGCGATGGAGCTGTGGATGTGCTAGAAATAAAGCAGGAGGCAGAACAGGGTAGAACTTAGACTGAAAAAGAGGATAACATTCTGTTGCCGATTAAAACACCTGTTCTCCAGTCGAGGAGCTCTACTGATGAAGGAGGCTGGTTAGCTTTGCTCTGTTTAGGGTCCATAGGCCCCTAGGCACAGCGTATGGACTAGAAAATTTATATAGTTAGCTACAAAGAGGACCAAGTCAGTGCAGATGGCTTAACTAACACAAGTCTGTTTCCCCAAGGGAGTGTGGATAGGGGGACAGCAAACAAAAACTCAGACTGCAAGAGCGTAAACACTGTTGCCAAGGGTGATCACTTGTTCACTTAGCAGCTGTATTGAGTGCCTCCTCTGTGCTGCTCTCTGCTGATACTGTGCTCTCACTCTCAAGGGATTTATAGTCTGAGATAGGTGATGAAGTAACTTCACACTTGGATTGTTTAAAGAAAGACTATCATTAAGTCCTAGAGGCCTGAGGGTCAAGCTCTTTTTGGTATAACTGGGGGATTTTTTTTCTTTCATGGTGCTGAAATTTGCTCATAAAACGGGAAGAATGGATCTGAGCTATGGTTACTGTGGCATGGATAAGGTAGAAGCTCTGATGTGCTTTGGGGTCTTCACCTGAGAAGGGCTTTGTGAAAGGAAGCTGTAAAGATGGCAAGGATTTGAGATTTATGAGTGACAGAAAGTGGGAGATTGAGTGACATGAAAAGGAGAAAAAGATGATGATTCTAGCTTTCAAAGGGTCCACGGTGGCCTTCTGAACAGGTTGGTGTTGAAGAGTATGAACTGATCTCCTTCTTTCCATAGGTGTGGGCACAAGCACTTCCTCCCTGTGGAATCTGATGGGCAATGCCATGGTGATGACCCAGTATATCCGCCTTACCCCAGATATGCAGAGTAAACAGGGTGCCCTGTGGAACCGGGTGGTAAGAGTCTTTCTCTCTCCTGTGTTGGTGACTCAGAAAGTCCTAAAAAGTTCACCAGTGGCATATTGACTTAATTTTACTGTCTGTCTCCAGTATTCTGTCTTCTGTGGATATCAAGGATTTTCATTTCAGAGGTGATGATAACCTTCATAATGAAATCAGATATATAAGGAAATGCCCTTTATTGCCCTAATTATAGCAAATAATTCATTTTGATTCTGTTTCCTGAAATGTCTTTAATTCCTGATTGACCTGATGGTATTACTTCTTGGAGGTTAATAACTCATGTTTAATTACTTTGCTTTGTAAAGTAGAAAACTGCTCTTTTAAATGTATCCCAAACTTCATCCCAGTATCCCCCCTTGTTATTTCCCTTTGAAGAGTCTAATTTTAAATTTTATTTTCATGTGAAAGCCACTTTGAGCCCTTGGTCATTTTATTTGTCCTTCTCTGGACCTTTTCTAGCTACATTGTCTTCCTTGAGGTATGGCGGCAAGAAGTGAATGCCGTATTCCTGGTGTGGCTGCACTGTGATTTTGTACAAGTGTAAGATGATGCTTTCATTTCAGTTTCCAGGGCTCTTTCTAAATCTTTTACGACCGCTTTACTTATGGGAATGACCTTGGCATCCTTTAATACTTTGTCTTGGGTTCTCATAAGTTAAGAACTTACTTTTACATGGTTTTTATTATTAATTGTAGATAAGTGTACCTCAGAAAAGAGAACTATTTCTTTTCACTGTTCATTTTATGTGGCAGAGAATTCTAAAGGAGCAGAGGGATAAGAGAAGTTTCTACATGAACTATTTGCACAGGCTGGCCCCTTAACCCAGATTGTAGTTCCGAGCTGGTTCTTGGGCGGAGTGCAGGGCACTGTGCTCTGGTGGAAGAGGTGAACAGCTGGCAGTTGCAAGACTTAGGTTCTAGATCTGGCTGTATCACAGACCCACTGTTAGCCCTGGGCAGTTACTTAACCTCTGACAGTTGTCAGTTTCTCCATCTGTCAGATGAGCTTCATAATATCTGCTCTACTTGCCCACCACGGTTATTGTGAGAGTAAAATAAAACAATAGGTGTGAAAAAGCTTTGGAAAGTTAAAATGTTACAGAAACGTGCACTGTTATGTTATTACGTCTGTTATAAGATTCATTGACGGAACTCTCTGGGTTACTAAATGCTTATATCCAAAGCTCGATACTTTGCTGCTGTCTTAACTCTTTTAGCAGCAATTTTAGTCTAGGATCTAGTTATCCTGCCCTTTTTCAGATTCTCTGATACCTGTATTTTTTGTTGTCTGACTAGCAGAATGAGCTTTGGAGGTGTTTCTGAGTTGCTTGAATAGGAAGCATTTGTTTGAGCCGTGGTTCTCATTTGGCTGTCCATTGGAGTTGATGTGTGGTTCCCCCGGAGATTTTGATTTAATTGGAATGGGTATGGCTTGGCAATTGGGATTTTTCAAAGCCTCCAGGTGAATCTAATGTGCAGCAAAGTTTCAGAAACACTGTAGTTAGCCCTGAGTGAAACTGTATAGCACTGTGCTATTGGAGGCCAAGGATAAGGGGCAGACACCTCTTGGGTCATTGTGAACTTCTCTGGCCTTGCCCTCCTCTCAGGGGCATAATATACCCGCTGGCTATGGAGCCACTGAATTTCACTGGCTATGGAGCCCAGAAATCTAAATGAAACAGCGGAAAGGTCAGAACCCAGAATGACAATACAGGGACTGGGCTCATCAGAGCAGGTAAGCTATTGAAGATTTCAGGGTTCTTTGGTGAATTCGGAAGTATCAGCACCCTTTTCATTTTTGACTGTGTACTTCTAATACTATCACTTTTGAAGACTTCTCAGAAATTAAAAATGAAAACTGAAAGTGACCTAGCAGTACGTTGCTCGAGAGCTGGGATAACCTATTTGGAGAGCCTTTGGCTGCACCCCGCTGGTCTTTCTGCTCTTCCTTCCCTTCTTCCCTCCTTCCTGGTGAGCTTTAACCAGGAGCCTCTCTAAACTAGATACCCACTCTGGTTTCTCCTTGAAAGCGTTCAACTATTTAGAGCACTTAACCATGCACTTACCTTCTCCATTTTCCAAGGTTTTGATACACAATTCAAAAGAAGAAAAACAGGAGTCTCTCACCTCCTTAATGCTTTCCCCCTGGAGGCTGTCCCTGCGGTGGGGATGGTGGTGTTCTCCTTTAGAGCATTTAGTTTCTTGGCCATGGGCATGAGGTTTTGGGGGACTGTAACTTAACCTTCTTGCAGAACTCTGATTTGCGCCTCAGCTTGGCATAGGGCCAAGTCTAGCTAATGAGAGTTGTTTATAGCATCTGCTAATTGCTTCTGGAAACCTGAGAGTAATGACTTACTTTTCTTATTCTTGTGTAATGAACGAGGCATTGACCTTTAAATTCAAGCTTTTTAGAGTCTTTCTGTCAGAAGGGTGATCTTAAGTTGCAAATGAATGTTAGTTCAGCCACCTGCACTCTATGGTCTGAGATACTTTGCTGGGTGGGTGTAGGATCACAGTAGTCTAATTTGGCATTCTTGTCTTTTCCAACTTTGGAGTACTATCCTGTTTCTATTGGGAGAGGTTGAAGATAATTGGGAGGTTTATTCACTTTTCATATTAAATCTCAGATACAGCTGAATGGCCCATCTCTTTAATTTTACGACACAAACATTTAGCAAGTCTTAGATTTCATTTTTAGCCCTTAACCTAGTGTTACCTGCATTTATGTTGTCCAAGTCCGTAGGCTCTTGACGAGGGCTTGAGGGGTTTCGCATTTCTTGCTCCTCATTGACTTCAGCGTCTTTTTCACTTTAGCCGTGTTTCCTGAGAGACTGGGAGTTGCAGGTGCACTTCAAGATCCATGGACAAGGGAAGAAGAATCTGCATGGGGATGGCTTGGCAATCTGGTACACAAAAGATCGGATGCAGCCAGGTATTGGGACCCTGTATTGCTCTTCTGCGGGGGTGTGACAGGCCAGCTTTTTCATCTGCACTCTTTGAGAACGGTGTGTCCCCACAATGCCAGCAGTTTTACCTCTACCTTGATGTCTGTGGATGAAGACTGGCCTGTCTAGTCTCTGGAATGGGGTCTAAGTCCTAATAAGCAGCTGAACTTGACTCATCCTGGGGCAATTTCTTGCTTATTAGTTCCTTCCAGATTCCCTTTGAAACCACTTGGCCTGTTGGCTGGGTGAAAGCGCTGTCTCTCCCAAACACTGATGATTGGGTTGGCCGCTTTCTTCTGGGCATGCACAGGGGACGATCTCAGCACTCCTGACTCAGGAGAAGAGTTATCTAGTTTTCCTTGTTGTGCGGGAGCCATTGCTCCAAGTAGATGGCAAACTCAGCCTGATTTGACCTGGTCTCTTTTGTAACAAGAAGTGGAACTTGGGAATTCAGTTCTCTCTCGGGGGCATAGTCATCACCAAGTGTTTGTGAAGCAGAATTCTTTCGGGGCGCCTTGGCAACCAGTTTGGATCAGGGAGCAGCTGTAGAGCTAAACACAGTTGCAGTGGCCTTCTCTCTTTCCCCTGCCTTCAATAACAAACAACTACGGATATTTACTGGGTGCTTGTTACAGGCCATGCACTTTGCTGCGTGCTTTTACGTATGTTTTCTCATCTTAAAGAGAGGCCTGGGAGTCATTTGACTCTCACTTTTTCCTCCATCATAGTGATATATTATTCCTTTATCAACTCTTGGCTTTATTTCATTGTTCGTCATCTGTTCTCTCTCTCTAGGGCCTGTGTTTGGAAACATGGACAAATTTGTGGGGCTGGGAGTATTTGTAGACACCTATCCCAATGAGGAGAAGCAGCAAGAGGTAATGGCAAGTGTCAGAGCTTAGGTCAGCTGCACTGACATCACAGTCCTTTGCCTCAGGAATGTCATTCAGGAGGGAACAGAGGGGAAGAAAGTGAGGGGTTCCGTTCTATTTTCTTCATTGATTGAACTTCAAAAGTTAATGTCCTTGTCAAGGTTTTTTCTAGAGAGAACTGTTAATGGTGCACAGTCTTTTGGGAATGGCTGTTGTAAATGGGGGCTTTCTCTTTAGGTTCACAGTATGCTCTCTTATGCACATTAGATAGCGGATGGAATTGAGCATGCTTGGCTGGTTGGTGATGTGGCTACTATGCCAGCACCAGAACAAGCTGAATTTATGTAACTCAGCTCCCCTGACTTAATATGTCACCGCTGTACTCTCTTCTGCAGCTTGCTCACATTTTCCAGCATCCTTTTCTTCCTCTTCTCAGCCATGAACAGCAATTCTCTCCTATAGGAAAGGCTATAAAAGGAAATTGGTGAAATCCCAGCATTTTGTTGGAACCCAGGATCTGGCTGTTGGCAGAGGCTTCTTGCTTTTTGTTAGCTGACCCTAGGGTTCTTTAGTACTTTCCTGTACTGGCAACAGGTTTGTACTCTCTCTGCCCAATGGCCTTGCTATCAGATGGTGGGAAAATGATTATGACAGGTTGTTGCTGGGTATCCTGTAGCTAAATAATATTTAGCAAGAAAGGCAGAATTAGAAATGGAGGCAGAATTCACTTAATTTTTTCCCCAAAAGTTTATTATGAAAAATTTCAAACTTATAAAAAAATTGGAAGAACAGATCATCATATGTGCAACACCCAGATTCAATAGTGTTTAACATTTCCCACAGAGTTTATTTTAGAGGAAGTGGAAAGTGAGACCTGAGTTAGGAGAATAGCCTTTTGGTGTGAGTCAGTTACAAAGTTGCATCTCCATGTTTCTTCTGGCCTCCTCTTCACTCCACCATACATTAAGCACTTTGTAGGTGCCAAAGAATTAGTGAGCAAGACCAACCTGGTCTTTGCACTCAGTAGCAAAGTGAGAATGCCGATGGGGGAACTGTGGGGCGCTGTGGGAGGACATAACAGGAGCATCGAACCTGGAGTGGACAGTGGTGATGCTGGTGGTCCTTGGTGAAGACTTTTTTCAGGAGGTGACATTTACCTTGAAGTCTGCAGAATTAGGAACCAGTGTTCCATGCAGAAGGAAACGCTTGTGTTAAGGAGATAACATGAGAGAAGGGATAATGAGTGTGAGGGAAAAAGGGGGGATCAGAGAGAGATGAGGCTAGAAAGAAAAACAGGGCCAGCAGTTTTGCTATGTTGCACAATTCCAGGAGCCATCATTCACCTTGCTTCTTTAGTATTAATGCTGTTCCCTCTTGGGCCAGTTAACTGGCCACTGAGATTGAGCAGTGTCTGGGTAGTAGGTGGTTTGGCTATTGAGACCAGCACCAGACAATTTGAGTATATGTGACTCATCCTCACCATGCACATTATGGGGCCGGGTTCTTCCTTTTACGGAGTCTAGACTTTATGCTAAGGAGGTAAGTGCATTAAAGCATTTTGATGAGGAGAAATGTCATGACTGGATTTGCAGTTATGCTGAGGAAATAGTGGTGATTAGAATGCGTCTGAATAAGAGGTGTGGGCTTCAGGGCTGGCCTAGAGTTTCAAACCTAGCTCTCTGCTTCCCCCAGAAATAAATTGTTCAGACTCTTCTTAGCTTCCATTTCACTATCTGATAGTGGTAATTCTGATATGAGGGGGCAGAGCTGATGGGCTTATTTTGTAAGGAGAGTAGATGTTAATCAAAAAAGTTAGTTTCAGATGGTAAAAATCAGGACTTCCTTTCTGGCTAGCTGTTATAGTTCTCACCCCCAATTGCGTATTGGCATTACCTGGAAAGCTTTTAAAAATGCTGGTGTCCAGGCCCCCAGCCCGGGAACTCTGATTCTGTTTGTCTTAGGTGCAGTCTAGGCAAGCTTACTTTTTTGCAGCTCTCCAGATGAATCACATGCATAACCAGGATTGAGAACCCCTGGACCAACATCAGGTCCTTGCTTGCTGTTTATTTATTAGAACTACATTTTAAAAAGGTAGTAAATCAATTTCTCTTTATGAGGTGGCTATTATGTGGCTGGTACTTTACAAATATTGTCCTAATCCTCATGAAATCTTATAGTCAGTATTATTTTTGCTGTTTTACCAGTGAGTAATCAGAGGCTTGGAGAAGCTAAGTGTCTCCTTCAAGGTAACAGCCAATGTAAGGTGGAGTGAGATTTTGAACACAGGTCTGCCTGATTCCAGAGGCTGTGCTTTTTTTTTTTTTTTTAAAGATTTTATTTTTTTCCTTTTTCTCCCCAAAGCCCCCCAGTACATAGTTGTGTATTCTTCGTTGTGGGTTCTTCTAGTTGTGGCATGTGGGACGCTGCCTCAGCGTGGTCTGATGAGCAGTGCCATGTCCGCGCCCAGGATTCGAACTAACGAAACACTGGGCCGCCTGCAGCGGAGTGCGCGAACTTAACCACTCGGCCACGGGGCCAGCCCCCAGAGGCTGTGCTTTTAATTATGATGCTCTACCACCTCTCATCCATTGTTTCTTCTGCCAGGTTGATGTCCCTGAGAATGTAGACGTTTTATTATTTTCATGTGATCTATGCAATTTCATTTCTTAGAACTTCCACTCAATGCAGAGAGTTGTAGAAAGTGTATTTCCTTCTACATCCTGACAACCCGGAACTGTCTTAGAGCGTAAAATCAAATGTGTTTTGTTAGTGCCATGGTTTATTTTGATATCACACATAAAGGGGCCAGGCATTGTTCTAAGCACTTTTGCATGTGTTATTTACTTATCATAACAACCCTTTGGGATAGATATTATTATCCCTACTTGATGGGTAAGAAACTGAAGTGCAGAAAGATTAAAAAACACACAGGTGGTGGGGTCTGACTCCAGAGTCTTCAGTCTCATTATTTTCCTTTATTTATTTTGAGCACATAAGGAGAGGGTGACAAATATGGTACCTTTGACAACTTGAAAATGTCACGTATAGAAGATGTGCTGGACAAGGAGCAGGCAGGAGTGGGTGTGGAACAATTCATCCAGTCCCTCAAGGTAGTGGTATAAATGTTTCTCTGGTTTCTTGTTTCCTTGTCACCAGAGTGCTCAACCCTATTGCTCAACTTACTTCCTACCGCATTTGTTCATGAAGAAATACTGGGAAAACACTACCAACCAGTAATGCATCTGAGAAGGGAGTGAGGGAGTTCAATGTGTAAGCTGAGTTTAGGCTTGACTCTCTGAAATCAGGACAGATTGTTGAAAGTTACATGACCTCAGTTTCCTCATCAGCAGTATAGCAATTGTAGTTTAGGTGAGTAAGTCAAGAGCTTTAATATTTGGGAGTACAGGATACTATCTGTGCCACAGTGAGGTTGCTGTATTATAAATAGTTGTTAAAATGATAGTTGAAGAAATAGAAAATCTGGATAGATCTGTAATAAGTAAAAAGATTGAATTAGTAATAAAAAATGAGTCACAAAGAAAAGCCCAGGCCCAGAAGACTTTACTGGTAAATTATACCAAACATATAGGGTAGAATTAATACCAGTTCTTCTCAAACCCTTACAAAAAATAAGAGGAGACATTGACCAACTCATTCTTTGAGGCCAGTATTATCCTGATACCAAAACCAGATAAAGATATTGCAAGACAAGAAAACTACAGACCAGTATCTCTTATGAATATAGATGTAAATAAACATCATCGTAAAATACTAGCAAACCAAATCCAGCAACATATAAAAAGAATTATACACCATGGCCAAGTATATTTATCCTAGGAATTCACATTTGGTTTAATAATCTGAAAATTTATGGGATAAACCATATTAATAGAATAAAGGACAAAATCATATGATCATATCAATAGATGTAGAAAAGGCATTTGACAAAATTAATAGCTCTTTATGATAAAAACACTCAACAAATTAGAAATAGAAGGGAACTTCTTCAACCTGATAAAGGGCATCTATGAAAACCCCCCAGCAAACGTCCTACTTAATTGTGAGATACTGAATACTTTCCCCCGAGATCAGGAATAAGACAAAGATATCCGCTCTTACCACTTCTATTCAACATTGTACTGGAGATTCCAAAAGTCAGGGCAGTGAGGCAAGAGAAAAAAAAAGACATTCAGTTTGGAAAGGAAGAAGTAAAATTATTTCTATTTGCAGATGACATCATCTTGGATATAGAAAATCCTAAATAATCCACAAAAAAACTGTTAGAACTAAGAAATGAATTCAGCAAGGTTGCAGGATGTGAGATCAGCATTCAAAAATCAATTATATTTATGCTTGCATTGAACAATCAGAAAATGAAAGTTAAGAAAACAGTTTCATTTACACTATCATCAAAAAGAATAAAATATTTGGAAATAAATTTAACAAAAAAAATATTCTGAAAACTATAAAATATTGTTGAAAGAAATTAAAGAAGACCTAAATAAATGGAAAGACATCCCATGTGATGGATCAGAAAACTTAGTATTAACATGGTGATACCTACAAATTTGATGCAATTCCTATCTATCAAAAGCATAGCTAGCTTCTCAGAAATTGACAAACTGATCCTAAAATCAATATGGAAATTCAAGAGAACCAGAATAGCCAGATTAATCTTGATAAAGAAGGGCAAAGGGGCTGGACTGGTGGCACAGTGGTTAAGTGCACATGTTCTGGTTTGGTGGCCCGGGGTTCGCCAGTTTGGATCCTGAGTGCGGACATGGCACTGCTTGGCAAGCCATGCTGTGGTAGGCGTCCCACATATAAAGTAGAGGAAGATGGGCACAGATGTTAGCTCAGGGCCAGTCTTCCTCAGCAAAGAGAGGAGGATTGGCAGCAGATGTTAGTCCAGGGCTAATCTTCCTCAAAAAAAAAAAGAAGAGCAAAGTCAGGGGACTCACTTCCTGATTTCAAAGCTTAGTAGAAAGCTACAGTAATAAAGGCAG